CTTTACACAATTGATGTATGTATGGATTGTGATAAGAATTGTATGAACCCCAAATAAAATGATTAAAAGAAAAAAATAGAAAACCGGGAAATAGAAGGGCATGAAGGTTCCTGTCAATTGAGTTAACCACCTTTTAGAGTGCATACCCCACCCAACAGCTGAGCTGCTTCCATCTCCTGGGCCAGAAATGTGTCACAAGGCTGCTATAGCTGAAAGGGAGTCTGGGGAATTTCTTAGATGGACATGTTCAATGCAGATAAAACTGCACTCCATCCTTCAACAGAATAACCCTCCTGCACCCCTTTCCATCCAGGTAAGTACACAACCCGTTCTCCAGCTACCAAAAATGCCTGCATAAGGCTGGATGGTCCCCCTGGCCACAAAAAGCAAAATCGAGTTGATTTTGATGCATAGTGTGACCTTATAGGACTGGATAGAACTGCCCCTGCGGGTTTCTAAGACTAACTCTTTATGGGAGTAGAAAGCCTTGTCTTTCTCCCATGGCCACAAAAAAATCTCCCTAAAAACATTTCCCAAAGTCTGGTTGTTAAGGGCAAAATTAATTTCCACTCACCAACACTAAGGCATATCCCAAAGGGAGACAAAGTAAGGGAGAGGAACAGCAGAGGGCACCATGGGGGTCTGGCTGCCTATAGCACACCCCCTCCCCCAGGAGGCACTCCTAGGTGTGTGTGCAGGTGAGGAAAGTGGTGACCTTGCACTCATCCCTGGGCCAGACACAGGTTGCAAGCAGCAGGTGCTTAAGGATTGAGGTGACTGAGCATGCCTGGCAACCTCTGCAGCCTTTCAGAGCTGCTGCCTGGGTCCCAGTGCCACTTTCCTGCCTAGGACTGGGTGAGCTTGCTGGCTGCTCTCTAACCTCATTCCTGAACCAGGAAAGTTGGGGAGGCCTGACCAAAATGGAAATGCTGGCTCTTTCCCACTGTGAGCTGTAGGGACGAGCACTGCAGCCGATGTTGCCCTGCTAGTCTCTGTGGGTGCTCCTTCCTGCTCTCCGGGTTTCGTCGGGGTCTGCCTAAGTAGGAGTGCCTGGTCACATGGTCATCCTGGATGGCACAGTGGGATAGGTGTCGGACTGCTAACTGGGATGAGGACACTCCAGTAGCACTGGCCAAAACAAATGGTTCTGTATTCGCTGAGGAGGTTGAGACCCCTCTTCTGTTATAGTCCTAATGGCTATGGGACCTCACTCATTCCCCTTCTCTGAGCCTTGCTTTGCCTCATTGATGAAAGGGGGGTTGGTGGGGATAGCTGAGACCTCACCAGGCGGTCCTGACAATTGGGTGTGAGTATTGGTGAGCACCTGGCGCATGCTGCACGCTGTGCGCTCAAGTCAAACGCGTTCATTATAAGAAGAGCCCTTCTCACATCTCAGGCGATGGCGCCCTCGCTTTCTCACTGCTCAAACCCCAAACTGAGTCTGCATTCACGCCTGCCCCTGCTTTGTATCTCTAAGACAAAATATCAGTTCCTCTTCAGAATTTATCCACATCCCAAGCTTTCCTCAACAGTTTACCTTCAGCTCCATCCTGGTTCACTGCTTTTGCCCTTGCCCCCTTCCCTCCCCTCTCCTCCTCTCCTCTCCACTCACTCCCCTTACCTCCCCTCCCTGCTCTTCAGTCCATCCACAAGCCTATGTTTTCTGCCTCTGTCTGTCTTGCAAATGGTGGAACCCCTGGGGCTCTGTCCCCTGCTTACTTCTCCCCTCCTTATTCTCAAACTCTTCCTGAGCAAACACATCCTGGGACCACTTTCCCTGAACTCTGGGCATGCTACTCTGCCTGCCGAACTCAGAGATTCCAAATGCAATTGAGCCTTTCATGAGCGCCTGGCTACCACCACCTTCCCCCAAACTGCCACTTTCCGGAGAGACTTCTGTTAACAGGTATGATGGGGCGCTTTCCTCTTAGTAACCAATTCTAATAGGATGCTAGCTGTGTACCTGCAAGATAACTTATTTACAGATCTTGTTTATTGTCATTTTCTCACTGCCAGAATACAGCTCTCAACAGGGCAGGGATTGGCACCACTTTGCTCACTGCCAGTCTGGGATGAATGAGTGATCACAGGACTCATGGCTAATGTTCACTGAACACCTTTACTGCACCGTCACTGAAATACGAGGGGGCTTCCAGGTGTTCACAGGAAAATTCCATTATTTTTAAATTCTCTCTTGCCCCTCCCCCTTGTGTATTTTACATCTTTATCTTCTGTATTATCTGGACCCCGCATTAAAATGTGACCAGGCACTTCAAAACAATATTTTAATGTGAATCGGGGTGTATTTTTACATAGCATTAGACAATTCACGCGCATTTTGTTTCAGCTCATTCACTGCAATTCTCCAAAGGTAACTTCACCTATCTCACTTCCTCTCTGCCTTTTTCCCCCGTTTGCATTCTTCCTTCTTTCCCCACCCTTCTGAATTTAGCCCTTGACTAAAGGCTTCCCCCTTTGTCTCCAATGGTTGCTTATTCTAAGATATGCCTACCTCACAGGTGTTATTGTTCCCCTCAAGGATCTATTGTTTTGCTGAGAATTGAGCTCTGGGATAAGTTCCGATCCAGACCTGAAGGGTGGCTGAAGATCGCTGGGGGAGGGGAAGGGAGGGAAGTGGGAGGTTGGGATCTGCCAGTCTCCATCTGACCAGCAACCCGGCCCTCCTTTATAGTAGTTATGATCCGCTTCTCTGAGCCTTTTCAGAGGAGTCCTTAGTGGGAGCCAGTCACCACCTAGTTCTGGTTTGGGGGCTGTGGAGGACTGCTGTTGCCATTTGAATAACGTGTTTTCATGTGTCCTGGTGGCGTAGTGATTATGAATTGGGCTGCTAACTGCCAGGCCAGCAATTAGAAATCACAGCAGCTCCTCGGGAGAAAGACTGGGCTTTCTACTCCCATAAAGAGTTAGTCTCAGAAACTCACAGGGTCACTATGAGTCGGCATTGAGTTTAGTTTTGGTTTGGTTTCTTTCCTCAGAGGGAAAGATCAATCATTGCACAAGCTTGAAGATCCCACTCACTACTCATGTTACCCCTATTGGCCTTGGTGTCCAGAGTCTATGGTGGTCTTGACCCCCACACTCGGCACTCATTTTCTCAAGTGTATGTCTAAGATGTTTCCATCACTTTGCCCCCTGTATGGCTATATCCACAGCAGAGGTCATTTGTACAAATAACCTCTGTCAGGTTTGGGATCTCTTCTCCCCCAAGTTTATCGGGTTATTCATGTCGTTGGCTCAGAGCAGCAAGTGAGTGTGCACTGGAAGGAAGCACTGCCCTGTGCCGTCCTCACACTGTTCTCAGGTTTGAGCCCACTGCGTCAAGCCATCTTCTTGAAGGGCTGTGCCTGTCTCTTGTTCGCTGCCTCCTTTTGCTACTTTACCACACATGAATGGTGTCCTTCTCCAGGGGCTGGTCTCTCTTGACATGTCCGAAGTATGCAGGATTGTGGCTATCACCGTGTTTATCAGGCATTTCTCTTAGTCTCTCTCTTCTTTCTTTAACTTCTGTGTCATTGCCACACCGTAGTCGGTTCTCAGTCAGTGTCTGTTGGAATAGACTTGATAGTGGATTTGGGTTTTTTAAAGTTATAATGATGATGGTTAACAGACTACAGAATTCACTTTTATGTATTTGGTTTAGAATCAGTCTCCACGTTCTAGAACCTAAATTCCTTGATGATATGTCGAGTAGTAGCCACTGTGCCAGGTTGTGGTTCACGGAAGTAGAAAGCCTCGTCTTCCTCCCTAGGAGCGTCTGGTGATTTCAAATTGCTGACCTAGCTATTAGAAGCCCAATTCATAACCTCTACACTACCAGGGCTCCTAAGAAACCCTTCCTCTAGTTACTCTCTCTATAGATTGGCATCCTGGATTTCACATTCAAAACGCATTCATAGCAAAACCCCAGCAGCAACAACAAAACAGGAAGCACCTCAATCCAAACGAAAGCAGAAGAGAATAAAAACTAGAACAATTTAAGAATGGGTCAAAAGGGAAAAGAAATGATAAGATAATGCATTTAAACCTAAAGATGTCTGCATTAATCCACTTTCCAGGGCACTCTGGCTTGGGGTAAGGAATACTGTACAGTCTTTTTTTTAAGCCCTGCCCCCACAGAGTTTATGCTATAGAATTGGAGATAGAAACAATAGACCACAGGAGTGCTTTCCACAGCCTGTGAAATGGTGAGCACTCACTGGGGACTCACTGCTGCTGAGTTAATCCCGACTCCTAGCAACCCCATAGGACAAGGGAGAACTACTCTTGTGGGTTTCTGAGACTGTAACAACGCTTTCCGTGAGTAGGAAAGCCCTGTCTTTCTCCCCAGGAAAGCAGCTGGTGGTTTCGAACTGCTGACCTTTACAAATTGCAGCCCAACTCATAACCACTATGCCACCAGAGTTCCCCTAGCACACTAGGCACTTGATAATGCTTACTCCAAGACACCAAGCTCTCTATTCCCCACAGGTTACCGCACTTAATTTATCCTCCCCTATGCTCACATTCGCTGTCCATCTGTCTTCTCTGTCCCCTTGCAGGTCTGCTGTTTGCGTCTCTTCCCTGAGCTGTCTGCTGGGGGCATGGCACTGCCCACAAATCCTACCATCTTTGACCTCGGCCTGGGCACATGGAGCCTGAAATCCCAGGAAACCCCTGAGACTGCAGCATGCTTCCAGAGTAGCCAGAAGCTGCCTGAGTACAAGGCAGTGGTTGTGGGTGCAAGTGGTGTGGGCAAGAGTGCCCTGACCATCCAACTGAATGACCAATGCTTTGTGGAGGACCACGACCCCACAATCCAGGATTCCTACTGGAAGGAAATGGCCTTGGACAGTGGGGGCTGTGTCCTCAATGTGCTGGACACCTCAGGGCAGACAGTTCATAAGTCCCTTCGTGACCAGTGTGTGGCTGCCAGTGATGGTGTGTTAGGGGTCTTTGCGCTCAATGACCCCTCCTCTCTAGCCCAGCTTCAGCAAATTCGGGACACGTGGGGTCCTCACCACACCCAGCCCCTCGTCCTGGTGGGCAACAAATCTGACCTTGTGACCACCGCCAGAGATGTTCATGTTGCTGCCCTCGCCCTCGCTCAGAGCTGGGGGAGCCCCTATGTGGAGACGTCAGCCAAGACACGTCAAGGTATCGAGGAGGCCTTTTTTCTTCTTGTCCATGAGATCCAGAAGGCCAAGGAAGCCAGAGCAAAGGAGGCCATAAAAGGAAATCACTGGAAGGGCATGTGCCACTGTGGCTGCTCAGTGTCTTGAAAGTATGGTCAAGAAAAGTGGACCTTCCTTCACTGTTCCTGTTGATAAACACCTACATATCTGGGGGGACGTCTTCGTTTGGTGAGGTGCTTTTTTTTTCTCACATGGGGTATAATGTTGGTTGTGTTTTGTCATGTTGAAAGATTTTGTGGAAAGTTCAATAAATGGTGCTCACAGGTTTCAAAGTAGCCTCTGAGCCAAGTGTTATCTGAGTTGGGGGTTCAAATTGGGTAGAAGGTTATCAAATTAGGAGAATGTTTCCCTTAAGAAATTTGGAGGCTTAAAAAAAAATTAAAAAAAAAAAAAAAGAAATTTGGAGGCCAGGTCCTGCTATGGGATGACAGGGATATAGAAGTCAATAAGGTATTCAGATAAAACATTCTTGTGGAGAGTTGGGGGGTGGAAAGTTTTTAAAAATATAGATATGTGCCCAAGAGCTCTGGTATAGTGGTTACTTGTTGGGCTGTGATCTGCATGGTCAGCAGTTCAAAACCAGCTGCAACTCTGTGGGAGAAAGACTGGGCTTTCCACTCCCGTCAACAGTTACGGTCTCAGAAACCCACTGAGGGGTCACTATGAGTCAGCGTTGAAAAAATATAGACATGGAGCACTGAGTAGAACTGCTCCATAGGATGTCCTAGAGGGTAGATCTTCTTGAGAGCAGACATAGTTTCACCTTTCTCCATCAGAATGACGGATGGATTTGAACTGCCAGCCTTTCAGTTAGCAGGCCAATGCTTAACCCAGGACCAATGTGCCACAAGGACCCATTTAAGTAATCGAACCTATATGGTAGAATAAGGGCTAGCAAAGTTGCTCCGTAGACAAGAAGGTCAATGACATAGGAACAAAAACTAGGGACTGAGGAGATAGGTAGTGCAAAGCCCAAGGCCACAAACCAGCTGTCCAACCAGAGGACATGAACTCCAATATCCTCAGTGACTCTATAGTGTATAACTCAAAATACTTAAAAATGACAAATCAAACTAATAGAGAAAAAAAAAACTCCCCTTCCTTCCTACCTTGACAAGTATGCTGTCTAATGACCCGGACATCCCGGGGCTAGTCTCTCAACTCCTGAGTTCCTTGACAGAATGTGCCTGTGGGAAAGGGCTGTCCCTTCTGCCTATCCCACTTCTCTTCCCACCCAGGGCCCTAGCTACAGGTCCAGGGCTCTCCTGCATGCATTGCACAGCCCTGCCAGCAGGGTCTAGCCTTTCTGCTCACATGCCCTGACCACTCCTGGATTCTTGGGAGCGTTGGTCTCGGGAAGACACTGTTGATGGAACCAGAGTTTCAAGGACACATGAGATCCACGCGGTCCTGTGCTCGGCATCATATGGCTCCCTTTCACAGTGGAGCAGCCTAGCCTGGGTGGGTAGGGTGTAAGGTTGTTTCTGAAGTGGGGGGACCCAGAGCAGCAGGAGTCCGGCCTGGATCTAAAGGCAGTCACCACAGTCCAGCTCATCAGCCCCCCCCACCACGTGACACGGCTACATACACACGAGCACAAAGCTGCTTCATATCATATTTATTGTGGAGCCAGTTGATAGGGATCTTGAGATTAGGGGGCAGCAAACAGACAGTAGCTGGGGTCTCAGCATGTTGAGAAAAAGCAGTCTGAGTGTCAGAGGCGAGGTGGGCAGTCCTGGGTCAGAGGGCTCCTGGGATTCCAGCATTACTCAGGGTGCCAAGAGACGGCGCCCGGGCGCCAGGGGCGCGGGAGTCTCCAGGCGTTTCACCCGCAGCAGTGCACCCAGCACGCCCTCAGGTGGCCCCTCAGGGCCCAGATCTTGGTCTGCTGCGCGGCGGAGGCGGCGAGGGGCTGCCACAGTCTCAAGGTCAGGACTTCCCGTGAGGAGCCGCCCCAGCAAGTACCTACAGTGGGAGGAGAGTGGAATGCAGAGAGGTCATATGTCCAGGAGACCCTGCCCCAGGCCCTGGGGACCCTGCTGTCCTCACACAGGCGTCCCCAACCCAATGACTCCCGGAGACAGGTGGCCGTGCCTTCCATCCAAGAAATCCTGCCACCCACCCACAGAAACAGAACCTCCATTCCACCCCCAGCGCTGGCCCCAAAAGTAAGTAGCCGTGTTCCCGCATCATCCTGGACCCAGGACCCCACTCCCTCCTAGGCTCTCCAGGTCCCTGCCGGCATCCTTCCGGGACCGGACACAGGCGCCGCGGCCCTCCCCTTGCCCAAGTACCTCAGCAGCTCGGGATCCACATCCGGGGTGTCATCGCCGGCCTCCTCGGCATCTGGGCCCGCAGGGCCATCGTCGTAGGCCGGGGGCCGAGTTCTGAGCACAGACGCGGGGGCGGGGGCCAGCTGAGCGGCTAGGGCGGCGGGGTCCAGGCGGGCACGGAGCAGGGCGCGCGCGAGCTGCGCGGCGGGGGCGTCGGGGTCGTCGTCCAGGCCCAGCGCCGCGGGGTCCGCCGCCCGAGGAGCGCCCCAGAGCCGCAGCAGCTGCGCCAGGACTCGAGCTTGCTGGTCCTCCGCCTCCTGCGCCTCGACGCGCGCCCGCTCCTGCCGTTCAGCCTCCAGCAGGTGGGCCAGCGCCCGCGCCAGCTCCTGCATCGCCCCCGCCGCCTCCCCCCGGGGCAGTGCCCGACGGAAGCGGCGGGGAGCGCCAGTCTCAGCCATGGGCGGTAAGGGGGCGCCCAGGCCTCGGGCCTCCTACAGAAACAAGAGGTGGGCGGGGGAGAGGAGGGGGGCCGTCAGTGTCCCTTCAGCCAAGGACTCAACCAGGGGACGTGGAATAATGCAGATGCCACTAAAGGCACCCCTGGATTCCCCCACGTACCTAAACACCTCCAAGGTCACTCGAGACCTCCAAATGGCCTCAGAAGCATTTACTCACTGCCATCGAGTTGATTCCAAGGCCTGGTGGCGTCATGGTTATGCATTGGGCTTCAGTCCTCCTGGTGGTCAACCATTCGAAACCACCAGCAGCTCCACGGGAAACGCCTGGGCTTTCTACTCCCGTAAACAGCTATGGTCTCGGAAACCCATAGGGCGTCGCTATGAGTCAGCATTGACTCGATATTTTTAATAGGGCAGGGTAGACTTGCCCCTGTGGGTTTTCAAGACTGTAACTCATTACGGGATTAGAAAGCTTCATCTTTCTCACTGAGCACCCGGTGGTTTTGAACTGCTGACTTGATGGTTAGGAGCCCAATCAATGTGTAACCCAAACTCTAGACCCCCAAGTGACCCCCAGAGCTTGCCCCAGGGGCCCTGGAGACATTCAGTTACTTCAAGGGCTTCTGTGGATCCCTAAAGTCTCCCAGAAATCTCCCTGTGACTCTCTAAGGCATTCAGGGGTGCTCTAACCCTCAGAAACAACACCAAGCACTGCTGTCACGTGGGTTCTGATTCATAGTGACCCAGGCCCCCGGAAACCCCAAATACCTCTGTAGACCCTCCAGACCCCGCCTTGACTTCCCAAATCCTTCAGACAACAGTAATTCTGAGCCATCTCAAATATCCCTAGGGAGCATCAGACACCCAAGGGCCCCCAGCAGATCCCTTCAGACGTTCCAATCACCTCATGGTGACTCCCAGGACCACTTCAGACTCCCTGAAACTGCCAGACATCCCAAAGGCCACCTCAAAAAACCCATGCAAACTCATTGCCATTGAGCCAATGCAACTCATCAAGAGTCGGCCTGCCCGTGTAGGTTTCCGAGACTGTAACTGGTAAGGGGAGTAGGAAGCATTATCTTTCTTTTGCCAGGACCTCTTTTTATTTTCCCACTGCCATGAAGTTGATGCCGACTCTAGAGACACCACATGACAGGGTAGAGCTGCCCCTGACAGTGTCCAAGACTGGCTAGTGGTTTCGAACTGCAGACCTTGGGGATCGCAGCCAACATGTAATCACAATGCCACCAGGGCTCCACGACGACTTTCTAGTGAGTTGTTTTTTGTTTTTTTTAATGGAAACATTCCATATTTTTTGTTTATCTATCTATCTATCTATTTTTTTTTCCTCCTAGTAACTCTGGGAGCCCTGGTGGCATAATGGTTACTTACGCATTGCACTGTAATCTGCAAGGTCAGCAATTCTAAGCCACCAGCCCACTCTGCAAGAGAACGATGAGGCTTTCTATTCCTATAAAGATTTGCAGTCTCGGCCACCCCATGGGCGGCTCTAGCCTGTCCTGTGGAGTTGCTATGAGTCTGAAGCAGCTCAATGGCAAGTGAGTTTGCAGTATTATACTTTTCCATAAGTATATTTCTTTATTAGTTTATGTACTGTTTTCCATTTGATTAATGTTGATTTTCCAATATATATTTACATTACTTACAAATAGTGGGAATTTTACCCCTTTCCTTCTCCAAATTTTGTACGTTAGCTTCTTGCATCATGAGTACATAGCCCCCTACCCTCCCCTACCCAGGGCTACTCACCAAAAAGTATATTATAGATTAACGTAGAAAATAGGAGGGGCTTCAAAAATCAGTGGACAAATTTGATTTTCTTTTCAATTCACACCCCCCACACACACACACAAACTTGGATGGGTAGGGGGATATACAGTAATATAGAAAAGTCTATAGTCGTGATACTTTGTGATACATTGCCACTCCTTCTGGGTGTTTTTATAAGCAAATTTAAATACAGGCTCCTACTGTTCACTTGTTTTACCCCAAAGGCAGCGGACTATTCTACTTCATGTCTTTTGGAACTCTATATATCAGGGTAGCGAAAGCATCCTTTGTATAGATGTCTAGTAGTCTGTTTAACCAGTCTTCAAATGATAGATACGTAGGGTGCTTCTTCTCCTTTACAATGTTGGAATGAATAAGCTGACTCATAGATTATTTAGTATGTGTGCAGGTTTATCTGTAGGATTAATTATTCAGGGATGGATTTTCAGTTCAGACAGTTTCAATAAAATGTCATTAAGTTAAAAAAAAGTCACTAAGTTTAAAGAAATATAAGCATACTGCCAAATATAAGAAATAAGAGTTGACCATGAAGATTTGAAAAAGAAAGAGATCATCTAGAAATATATTTCAAATGAAAATCTCAGTGGACATATTAAACAGCAGATTTGACACCGCTGAAGAAAGTGCTAGATTTGAACAGAGCTTTGAAACTACTATACCCATAAGCATGCAGACACTGGCACTAGGACAGACTCACTGCACGGCCATGAGACAGGATGGCTGCTCCGGTACATGACATAGGAATAACACATTCACCGAATTGGGGAGGACATGGAAAGCAAAAGAGAAATAAATCGGAATTTCTTTTTATCTCAAGACAGTATAAAAAGAATAAAAAATTAAAGAAAAAAAAGAATAAAAGTAAAACCACGGGGTGGGAGAAGATGCCTGCAACACAAACACACAAAATCAATACCCAGAATATACAACGAACACCTAAAAAGCAACAACAGAAAAAAAAACCGAATTTAAAAGTGGACAAAAATTTTACCCAAAAGAGGGGGGGGGGCCGCAGAAATGGGTAATGTCATAATCAGATAAATGAATATTGTAACCCTGATGAAATCCTCTGCACTGCTACATCCCTGCCAATTGGGAAAAATCAAAGTCACTTGTTGACATAGATGGCGGGG